ATTGATTTTCAAATAGAGGTTAATACTATTCTGATGTGGATCCGGTTAGTAGTATTCTGATTTGGATCCAGTTAGTAGTATTCTGATGTGGATCCGGTTAATACTATTCTGATGTGGATCAGGTTGGTACTATTCTGATGTGAATCCAATTGGTAGTATTCTGATGTGTATCCGGTTGGTTCTATTCTAGTGTGTATCTGGTTGGTTCTATTTTAGTGTGTATCCAGTTGGTTCTATTCTAGTGTGTATCCAGTTGGTTCTATTCTAGTGTGTATCCGGTTGGTTCTGTTCTGGAGTGGATCTGGTTGGTACTATTCTGGTATGGATCCGGTTGGTTCTATTCTAGTTTGTATCCGGTTGGTACTATTCTAGTGTGTAACCGGTTGGTACTATTCTGGTGTGTATCCGGTTGGTTCTATTCTAGTTTGTATCCGGTTGGTTCTATTCTGGTGTGTATCCAGTTGGTTCTTTTCTAGTGTGTATCCAGTTGGTTCTATTCTAGTGTGTATCCAGTTGTTTCTATTCTAGTGTGTATCCGGTTGATTCTATTCTAGTGTGTATCCGGTTGGTTCTGTTCTGGTGTGTATCCGGTTGGTACTATTCTAGTGTGTAACCGGTTGGTACTATTCTGGTGTGAATTCGAATGTTGCTATTTTAATGTATACTATTTTGGTGAGAATCTGGTTGGTACTTTTTTGGTGTAAACCAACCTAACCATTGAAAATTGTAGAAAAAGGATGATAATAATATTTCCATATTAGAATCTATCCTGTAACTGCTGGCCTAGAGAACTGGAAAGTACTATTGAAAGAACAGTTCCCCGCGGAAACTATTGGAATAGATCAATATTTTGCTCATATACACACATGTGAAAACGCTAAATTTATCTTTGGTGCTCTCAAGGCAAGATTCTGAAAACTTTATCTAAATCTTTTTTTTGATAAGTAAGAAGGCTAAATTTTTTTTATGTCAACAAAATAAATTTTTGTCATGAAGAGACACGGTCGCTTCTAACTATAATTGTCTGATCCCTATATCTTTTCAACCTAATGCACTAGTTTAAACTACAAATTCTAAAAATAGAAGAAGCAGAAGCTTGAAAGTTTGAAGGATCAGGTTGCAAAAGATAGAAATAAACATATAAGAGTTTGTGCGTGTGATCATTTGATTTGTCAAACACTTAATACTAAATAATTTTAGTTAATTGTTTTCGAAAATTAAAATATTAATTTAGATGATGCCGTTATGGTTTGTCCATTTACTGGTTAAAACTGGAATTCTCCGTGTTGTGACAAACATGTGGAAAGACGCGTACACCCGTAGCGCTCTTGAACTTGTCCAGGACCTCACACACAACCATGATCTTCAAACCATGCTATTGTACTACTGGGGGGATGTTGGAACCCTCCCATCCAGGACCTACTTCTCCACCATGGCCCTGATCAGCAAGCACCTGAACCTGGACGGATCTTACTACCCTATCGGAGGACCAAGTGAACTCCCCTTCAATATGATTCCCATAATAGAGAAGGCAGGTGGTCGTGTTCTGGTTTCTGCAGATGTTGATGAAATATTCTTTACTAAAGGAAAGGTTAGCAGTGTTTGTGTAAAACATAATGGGGAGAAGTTTACAGTTCCATGTAAAATGGTGATCTCAGACGCAGGACTTTACAACACAATCATGAAACTAGTTCCAACCCTTGTTGCTAAAAACTCCTACTATTATGAAATAGCTAATGAGCTAAGTGAACCGTGTATGACTGTTATCTCCTGCTATGCCGGTCTAGATGGTACTCCAGAACAGCTGGGGATCAAACCACAGAACTACTGGTTCTTCTTAAAGGGAGATGATATTGATAAAGAGGTGAAGGAGTATCTAAACGCTGATCTTGAAGATCTGATTAAACCTGAAGCTGATATCCCTTCTGGATTCATATCATTTAATTCCGCCAAGGACCCAGAGTGGAACATGCTGAAGGAGAGGAGAGGGAAAACGACCATGGAGATTTTAATTGTTGCAAACTGGGATTGGTTTAAGGATTGGAAAAACGTGGAACATAAGGGGACTGAGTACAAACATATCAAGGAGGCGTTCGGTAACAAAATGATCGCCCGAGCAGTGGAAATGTTTCCAAAGATTAAGGATCGAATAATATTCCGACGGGTTGGGACTCCGCTAGCGTATGATCATGCTATAAGGAAACATCATGGTGGAATGTATGGACTAGATCATGCTATGGCAAGGTTAGCATAATTTGTTATTAAGTTATAAAGGTTTTAAGTTTAAGGCCATTCTTTCTTTTGATAAGAAATGCCACTGTAGATTTTGAAAAATATAACAATTAAAAACTACTAAATCCCTACCAGCTTTTTTTAATTAAAAGATAAAGGAATGACGTCAATCATCTTTAAATTGGTTTACGCTACGTTAAAACTACTTTAGAAATTCAAAAAAACTGTTAAACAAGTAGACAGAGATCGGAACTTTTGTGTGGATATTGTTATTCTTTAACGCTTGACCTCGATATCCAATGTGAGCACTAAACTTGACGATCAATACTTGGTCCCTCAATAAAAAACTATTCCTGCAGTGTATCACTGCGATCTGAAAAAAATGAAAATCAATGATTAATTTTGAAATTTACAACACAAAAGGCCTGACTATAAAATAATGAAATAAAGTCAAAAGTAACTAATTAAAAAGTCAAAACAACTCTTAGGTACTGTGTTAAATGTAGTTTATACTTTTTAGTAATCCGACATATTCAAAATGGTACCCTTTCCAAGTAGCAATGAGGTAGACCGGTTTTTTTTTACCCAAAAACTGTGAAAATCTGTAAATTTTCTTCCTCATATTTGCAGCATAAACTTGTGTCTTTTATAGAGAAACCACAATCGAAAATAATTGATTTTCAAATAGAAAAATGAGGATATTAATTTTATTTTGTTTAGGTATGCTCCATGGATGGAGGCTCGTCTGCGTGCTAAGACCGATCTGCCCGGCCTCTACCTGACCGGGCAGGATGTTCTCGACTCAGGGGTGGTCAGCGCTGCTTTCAGCGGGGCACTCACTGCGCAGGTCATCCCATCAATATTTTTTACGGAAAATGGTCCTCTAAATTAAAAAAAAGAAATAAGATAAATATACATAAAAAAATCACCATAAGCAAGGTTGCTAAATAGGTTAAATTTGGCCTGGCACATTAACAGAGTGGACTTTATTTAAAAGTATTAAGTTCTAGCCACAAGATCTAATTTTCTAAATCTTCGCAACATAATGATATGATATGAAGTATTAGAAGTCAGTGCTAGATTTCAAAGATAAATGTTCAGAAAAAAAGTTTGTGAAAAATGTTTAGTTCCTTTATAAAAGAAACTACGAAAAAAGTTTTATGTTTGAATAAAAAAATTTAGCATGTTTTCATTAAATTTGTTTAGGCCTGTCTTGGTCGACCTGTACTGTGGGATTTATATCAACTCCATACTAAGCTCTTCAAACAGAGACGGAAATAGAAGACGACTTACATCATAATACTGCTGATGGCCACCGTTTTTGATCTCGTGCTAATGAAAAATATTGTCTATAGTAATTTATTCTATACAAGTTGTATCATTAAATAAATGTCGATAATAACATAAACAACAACATTTGTCAGGCATACAATCACAAATTGAGTTTAAAATTTAAACATTAACCAGAAAGAAATGATTCAAACAGATTACAAAATTATCCTTAACAGATAATAATTTTTGAAAAGGATCCAAATTCAAAAGTACAATAAAAAATGCCTCAATTTTAATTTTTGTTATCCTTATATTTTTGCAATCCGATGACAACTTTTGATATTTTAAAATTCATGACTTGAGTTTCAAATCTCTGAGGTCTATCATAGGGTTGCAAAAATTAAATAAAAAAATTAGGGATAAGAAAACATTCCTGTCTTATGATTATTAAACTTTTGATAAATCTAAGTCGGACTTACTATTGATTTAGCAGAATTTATAGTTCCTATGGCCAGCCCTCTTTCTTCCAATTGGTGGTTATTTGCATTCATTACGGTTTGGTTTGGAGTTTTAAAAGACTGAGAGCAGAATTTAAAAATCATTGTTTTAAATCTTCGCATAAATCAATTGTTTTTAATATTTTAAGAACTGTTTAAAACTACTAATAATATTCATAACATGAACCGAAAAATATTTTTTAAGTCGAATTGAACAAAATATATCTTCTAATACGACTGTACTTTGTTGTAACTTTCAAACCAAAGTGTAAGAAACTAATACAAAACTTTTTTATCTTCAAGAAATGGTGTTTAAACGTGCAAAATTCATATTTATATTTCAGTATAAGTTTTTTCTTTTCAAATTCATGATTTAAATCCAGCCCTCGCCCATTTTCCCTAATTTTTTTTAACCTTTTTAAACTAGAAAATAAATATCATGAATACTTTTGGTTTTTATGACAAGGAGTAGTGGACGATTAAAATTATTTAAAAACTACATTTATTGTGTAGTAAATCTATTTATTTAGTTGCAATACTTTGTTGTGACATAAATCCTAAAACTGTGAGAAAAGATAAAAACTATTTAACCCTATTCCTGCTGTAGTTTTTTTTACACAACTCAAAAAGTATTGGTCTGAGGCTGTTGAAATTTTCTGACTTTTCTTACATACCCAAAGCCCTCCCTTTAAGCCTAAAACCGGGCACACTGCCTGAATGACTGCTTTTGCCTGTAACAAACTAAATCTTTGTTTTGACCCACTTTCACTTGTCAGATTTTGATAAAATTTAGCTTTTTGGAAAGCCTATGACATAAGGAAACGGATTGAAAAAGTTTTGCGAAAAAAATTGCAAATTTTTTGCAAACAACCTGTCAAAGGAAATTTGCACATTTTTAGTTTTTCTTGATTAAAAATCAGGTTATTTAAGATTTTGCAAAAATTTTTGCATATTTGAAATGGCATTGTCAAGGGCTTTTCAAAAATGTATAATTTTTCATTTTTTGGACAAATTTTTTTTTGCAAACATTTTTACTATATAACTGGATTTTGCGATAAAAAATTCAATTTTTGCAAATTTGCGAATTTTTTGCAGATTCTAAAAGTAGAGCACAAGAGCTTTCTAATGATGTATCATTTGTCATATTTGGACATAAAACATGGAATTTAGAGGGGGGGGGTCAATCAGCATATCCTGGTTTTCAAGTACCCCAGCAGGGATAGGGTTAATCCCGCAGATTCAAAAATATTTACACCCGACACCGTACAGTGTAACGTGAGCAATTATAAAAATTTCATATTCTAAATAAATTTATTTATGTCTACAATATTATAATTAAACATTATTTTAACATCAGCAACATTATCATATTGTATGGATATATGGTATATGATTAGTTATTGCTTCTTCTTATCGAGGCTGGTATGGAGGTTGTGTGCTTAGTTATTTATTCTTGTTTTCGAGGCTGGTATGGAGGTTGTATGCTTAGTTATTTATTCTTGTTATCGCGGCTGGTATGGAGGTTGTGTGCTTAGTTATTTTTTCTTGTTATCGAGGCTGGTATGGAGGTTGTGTGCTTAGTTATTTATTCTTGTTATATGGAAGTTGTATGCTTAGTTATTTATTCTTGTTATCGAGGCTGGTATGGAGGTTGTGTGCTTAGTTATTTATTCTTGTTATTGAGGCTGGTATGGAAGTTGTATGCTTAGTTATTTCTTCTTGTTTTCGAGGCTGGTATGGAGGTTGTATAGGTCCCAGACAACTGGTCTACCGAGGACAGATTGTGCGACTAGAACTCCACTGAAGCAGGAGTAAACTACGCCACTAGTTGTTATATCTTGACCTGCCAGGTAGAGGCCAGGCAGATCAGTTCCAGCCCGTAGCCTAGCTTCCATCCAGGGGGTATACCTCTTCATGCTGTGCTCAAGCCCGTAGGGGGCCCCTTGGTGTTTACCTAGGAAATGAGAGTAGGTCAGCGGGGTAGTGATATTGTTGTAAATAATCCTATCTTTAAGCTGAGGAAATATTTCTAGTGATTTGTCAATCAGCTTTTGTCCGAGGCTATCCTTTATCTTCTTATACTCCTCTCCCTTGTCCTCTAATCCTTCCCACTGCTTGAACCAATCCCAGTTTGCAGGAGCAATAACTTGCATTACAGTGATATCTTCTCCTTCTTTATCCCATTCAGGGTTCTTGACAGAGTTGAAGGAGATGAAAACTCCTGGAATCTTAGTGTAGTCCATTTCCATCACATTTTCAATCTTAGCGTCTAGATAGTCTCGTTCAGCTTGGTCTGAGTAATGAGAGTCAGAGTAAGCAAACACATTCTGCTTCTTCAGTCCAAGTTCCTTGGCAGTTCCATTGAGTACAGCATTGCAGGAAATCATAGTGAACGGGGGCTTATTCAATTCAGTGGTGACAATGTCATAAAAATAGGATTTTGTGGCAATCTTTCTTGGAACCATTTTCATAATTGTGTTGTACAGGCCTGCACTAGAGATGACTGTTGTACAAGGAATAACAAAGTTTTCCTCGTTATGCTGTACATGCACCCCTCCAACTTTACCCTTGGTAAAGAATATTTCCTTTACCCTTGCATTGACCAGCACGCTTCCACCTGACTTCTCGATGATAGGAATCATGGTAAACGGTATCTCACTAGCTCCCCCAACTGGATAAAATGCACCATGAGACATATAATGGAGACACATGGATGCTGGATTGCTAAAGTAGGATTCTGATGGCAGAGTTCCAATATTGCCCCAATTATAAGTGAGCACAGTACGCAGATCAGAATTCTGTGTAAACTTTTTGATCATTTTGAGAGAGCTAGTCGTCATTGGTGCCGTCCACAGGTTTGTGATTAGACGTAGGGCTCGGGTGTAAATCAACACTCCAACTATCCATAACGGCAACATCTTCAGAATTCCCAATACTTTAAGTCCATTTCTACAGGTTTCAACATTAGTGAAAAACGCTTCTATTCCCACAGTTTCATTTGGAAACTGTTTCTTTAATAGTTTCTTCCATTCCTCAACTCCTGTAGTTACTGGATACTTTCTTATCTTATCCTTTCTCCCGATGGTGACGACATCAAACTCTTTATCCAGCTGCTCCCACTCTAGCTGACCATCAGTAATCTGATCAAACAGTGTTCTATGGATTGTTCCGGGCGACATTTCTCCTACATAGTGAACTCCAGCATCCATTTCCACATCTTGATAAATAAAGGTGCCACAACATCCCCCTGCCCTACTCCCCTGCTCCAACACAACAACCTTCTTCCCTGCTTTAGCCAGTATAACTGCTGTTGCTAGACCTCCTATACCAGACCCTATTACAACAGCATCAACATTCTTGGGAACCTTGTCAATTGAAAAATCTTGTTTTAGCACTTTGTTCCGATTCTTATGATTATGCACATAACAGTTCCTTGGTTTCCTGGTATCCTGTTTGAACGGGTTGGGAGGACTAGGAATACAGAATCTGTAGATTAGTCTTAGAATAGAGAGGAGAAGGGTAATTAGCTGTTTCATGATTGCTCCTTTAACCCTCAAGGGTTTATCAATAACTGAGTTTACTTGGGTCTGTAAATGATTAAAGATACCTTAATTTTGCGACTTATCAACCCCCCATTTGTATCTTACTGCGACCTAATCGACCCCGCCCCCCTTTTTGTATCTTACTACTGCGACCTAATCGACCCCTCCCTCTGGCCTGTATAATTGCGTCTTTATCCAATCCCTCCCCCCTCTCCCCTGCCACCATAATTTCTTAGATTTGTTACTTCTATTGCGTAAATTCAATTGTAGTGCTTTTATCTTATTTCAATCATTAACATTTAAAAATGTATTCTTTCTACCTATGTTCGTGAACATGCTCTAAATTCAGTTGTTGTATGTTGTTTGTATGTTGTATGTTGTATGTCGTATGTTGTATGTTGTATGTTGTATGTTGTATGTTGTATGTTGTATGTTGTATGTTGTATGTTGTATGTTGTATGTTGTATGTTGTATGTTGTATGTTGTAAGGCCCCATCCTCCCAAAAGTTTCTGTGTTTTCCATTTCTGTTTTTTATTATCTGTATTCTGTGGAATAGGATTGGGTTCACTCCTGAATAGATCATTTATATTAATAGAATCCAATTTATCTCTCCTTTCCATCCCAATATCAATCCATCCACGCTTTACAAATCAGAAAAAGACAATTCGTGTTTTAGAAAAAGATAATTAAAGATCACATTTTATCTACCTTCCAACTACCTTCATCTCTTCTGCCCCTTTCCCCAGTCCAGTCCCCAACCCAGTTACCCTTCCACCTTCCACTCCCCCTTACCTTTCTTATGCGCCCTCGCCACCACCTTCCCTCTCCCATACACCCTTCCCACCACCTACCCCCATCCGGCATCCCGTCCCCAAACCCGTCATCCTTCTCCTCTACCCCTTACCCGCCACCAGATCTCTGCGTTACCCCATCCTCCCACATTCCCACGCTCTGACCCCTTGCTTCCACCTTCCATCACCACTGCCCCTCGATCCTCAGAACCTTCCATCTCCACTGCTCATCGATCCTCTATACCTTCCCTCTCCAGTGCCCCTCGATCCTCTATACCTTCCCTCTCCAGTGCCCCTCGATCCTC